GCATAAAGTCCACCTTGACGTCAAATCCTATCTTCCGAAAGAAAAAAATGAAAGAAAAAGGAACTCGCTCCAGGTTCCGCCGTTCCGTCCTCGGTCTGACCTGGAGTCCGAACCAACCAAGCAAGAAAAAAACACAAGAAGCAAAAGGTGGACCACCCAGCGAGGAACCCTCTGTCCTCGATACTTGCGCGGGGCCTCTGGTGGGAAGGCATAAAACTTCGCGGATCCACGACCCGCGGCGTCCTGTGGTCCGGTCCGGTGGGGGCGGCAGGTGGAGGCAACGGTCAGGCAGGAACGTAGGTTGCTTGACATGGCCAGGTGGGGGTTTTGGTTTAGGGTCCTGGTAGGTCCTGGTGTTGGGAACAAAGATTCTGATACGCATCGGGAGGATCTCTGTGAAGGACAATGATTGATAGCTGCAATCACAAGAACATCAAGCATAAAGGAGGTCACAAAGGACACCGTTGGCAGCGGACCAACATTCAACCCAACTTTCCCAGTGATACATTTTGAGACCTTCACTCATTTCCCTCTTCGTCCCGTCCAATTCAAGCAGGATTCCTGGTCACATCCGAGTTCTCACTTTGCATAAAAGTCCTTTCATGGGGGTCTTTGAAGTTGCTCAAGGTGGGGGTTGATGGTTTTCGCATGTTTTCGGAGTTGTTCTTCAGCATGAACCTCCCTCATCTCCGTCCCCCTCCCAGCTGTCCTGCTGGACCAGCGACCAGCCGCAGTCCCTCTCGGTACCTGCCCCAGGGGTCGGTCCCGTTTCTTCTTGGACATGTCCCGAGCCCCTGCATTTTTTGGGGATGAGACGCCACATGAGACGCAAGAACGCCACCCCTCCCAGCACTCACCATGCAATCACTAGACTAGTACTGGATGAAAAGGAGATCGCAGTTTCGGTCAGGGCACATAGATCGTCAGGAATGTCCCAGAAGACAAAGATCTGACCGAAGGGTGACTGGGTCGCATCTGCAAAGTCCTCGTAGTCGTCGGCGACCTGAATGCACGTCCCTGCGCCGCACGTCCTCTGTGCGCTACGTCCCAAGCACGGTTTCTATGCCAGGTGCTTGACATGAGTCAGATTGATGGTTCAGGGCAGTAGTTTCTTTGATCGGGTGATCTGGTTAAGGTTGATGCAGGATGATGCAGGCACGAATTCCCTCAAAAATTTAGAAAAATTCCCTCACCATACCCTAGGTGTCTTGAAGTCTTGCTCAATAACTCTACTCTACTATACCCTGCCATATCCCCCCCAGAAGGCAACGGCTCTTGGGAAACAACGATGGAACAAAAAATGCCTCTCCCCTCAACCTCCTCGTCGCAGGATGCCCAGTCACTCGTCCGGTGAAGCGGTTGCCATCCAGCAAGGTCGACACCAGCAAGGGCGTGTCATGTCGTAGCTCGGTGTCAGGCGTGAAGCCATAAAGTGTGGCCTCGAAAAGGATGGCGACCCAGGGGTTCTGAACCCGGAGACCCACAGCTTCACCTATTTTGGGGAGGTCAAGCCACATGGCGGACGGGTCGGGCTCCAGGTTTTGATGGAAAGTCACCCATCCCCACTTGTGAAAATGAGCGGAGAAGGCTGCACAAGCCCCTTTTTCGCTTCAATTTCTGTGGACATGGTGCAGCTATTTGGGGGGGATGATCCGCCTCGGCTGTCGAAGATATGCAGCCGCCACAGTTGAGCTTGGGCTTGATGGCTTGATGTCATCTGATAGGTCCTCATATGTCATGATCACATCCATGTCTCAGCTTTCCCCCAACTCGCTGCCTCCCGTGAGCACCCACAGATCGGCGGAGCTCTCTCCGGCCACGCGCCTCCTCCGCGCGGAAGCGCAGTCCCACGTGGCCCGTCCAGCGGAAGTGCGGCGCTGAGATGTTGTAGTTCGTCTGGTCCCCCGCAAAGCCCACCAGCTGCGCGCGAGTGGCCACGGGGGGAAGCTCCAGTCCTGGATCGCTCGCTGTCTTTGGCTGCTTAAAGCTGCTTAAGCAGGATGAGGAGCAAGGAGGAGGAGCATGAGGAGCATGAGGATGAACACATTCTATCCTCTGATAGATCCAACGACTTCGGATCCAAAAAGAGAGGAACCTCCGTCCAGTTTCACCTCTCTACCGGGTGGATCGTCAGGGGTGTCGCTGCGCGGCGTGTTGAGCGTGTTGAACGCAGCCGGCGATGCGTATGCGTGTCGTATTTTCGATGCATCGCACCGACGGTGTCAACTCGCTCAACTCACAGGTTGAACATGGTTGAACCATTTAGAATACTTTGTAAATCTACTCAAAACAAACTCAACCTGACCCCCGCAATTGAACTGGAACAAAACCATACAAAATCCTATCCCCCCCCAGCCCGATTCGTACTACTACTTTTTCATGAAAGCGGATGGTTAACACCGATAGTTCGTATCGATTTTGTCAATAAGATCGTAGTACTTTCTGAGGTTTGTAGTACTTCCTCAGCAACCATGACCAAACTGAGGGCGCAACGATCGTACTGCGGCTCATCATATTATTTATGTCACTGAGGGTGCCAAATCAAGGACATCTGGGGAGTGCCAAATCGAATTTCCTCGCTCAGCAACTTTGGCTCAATTTGGACTAGACACCTGCACTGCTCCAGACTCCTGCCAAGCCCAACAGCACTCTCATAGCCCCAAAATGCTTCGAGTTCCGCTGCTGCGCTGGAATGAATGCGCAGGAAGGATCCGCTTCACCTCTATAAGCCTCTATACCTACTCTGAGCCATCAGATAGATTCGTAAAGCGCGAAGTTCGAATCATCCCGATTCGTCCATCCCGAAGCGTCCTGAAAGAAAGGCCTCAAGCAGTGCTGGGAGTGTCTGGCACTCCAATCCCATCACCAAAAAGGCGCGTCCTCCCGTGCCCTGAAATGCACCAAAATGCTTCCTGATACCAGAAACGACCATCAGAAGTCAAGTCATTATATAATATATATATATATATACATATGCTGCATTATTATATATATATATATATGTATATCATATGTATTATAGTCTTATATTGTATAATAATATGTAATTAATTACACTGGCTTTGACATTCAAGGAGAGCAGTTGCTCAAATCAGGAACACCTCCAATTCTATATAGGTTCTTCTGACGTCAGGGCACCTCTAGGACTCAGTCAGGATCACCCAGGGGTGCAGACCAATCGACTCGTCGACTGCGCCCCTCCCAGCGCGGTCTTTTGAAGCAAAAGGGGACCTGATTGGACCAACCAACCGCTGTCAACGGTCAGCACTGAATGCATGCTAGCACTGGGATGTCAGGAGTCTTAGACACGGACTGACATGTCTGGCGGTTTTTCTTCCGGCTGACCGTTTTGGCTGGCTTCGGTGTTCGAGCCAGTGCTTCAGTTTCACTGAAAGCACCCGGCCAGTGTTCGTTTCGTTGTGGCGCAACCGCCGTCCGCCCTTTCCTTCCAACCCGTCCGGATTGGGTTGAACGAGTTTTTCGTGAGTTCGGGCGGAGAGGGGAGGAGGAGAGGCTGCGAGACGCGACCTCCCAAAGGCCTTCTAAGCATAACCGCCGGAGGCTGCGACCGCACGCTGCGGCCTCGCGCGACCCGGCGATCGGCGCAGATCCGGCGCGATACGGGAGGGGCGAGGACCCACGCGGTGCTAAGGTTCTTGGACTGCAGGTGATCTGATCCAACAAGCTATCACAAGCTATCTCAGGCGATCTGAAAAATCGCACAAAGACTCGTGAGATCTACATGTTTGAGATCTCATGGGACAGGTGGACCAAAACCCATCTAAAACCAACCAGTCGAAACCCAAATTGTTGGTCATGTTTGTTTTGGTTTTGACGATGTACGTTTGTCATAAGAGGACTGACATTACTCAAAAAATTATTCCCAGAACTTGCTGCAAGAGAGAGAGAGAGGTAGGTCTCTAATTACCCGGAAGCCGCAAGCCCATCTAGTTTTGAGGGTCTTCAAAGGCTGTCAACCAACGACTGGTCTCCTGGGCGCCCCCAACGCGGCCACCGACTGGGCGCCCGCAGCTTCGGCCGTGGCGGTGGCCGCCTGGAGCTGAACCGGAGGAACCCAAACGGTTTGACCATGTAGATATCCCACGGTGTGTCAATGACCTTATTTGATTCAACTTGCTTCATATAAAGCACGACTCAATGAGGTAAAGGACCAGGTTTTACTGGGTCAGACTTGTTGGGTATATGTGTTATATGTCAATATTATACATATCCCTGAAACAATCGATGATCTGATGATCTCATCTCCATTCACTTCCATACACTTGTAAAATGATTGAAAATGAAACAATCATGAAAGTGGACACCATCTGTTTGTAGAGATTTTGATAGTCATCAATGATCATCTTAAGGTGCCATGCCATCCATGTCCATGATTGTTTTAAGGCGTGTAGGTGAGGTTTGGCCATGTGATGGTCAAAGATTCCACATCTAGGTGAACCCATGATAGGTCTGTGTTCAGGGGGACGACTCTAGTCTATGGTCAATTATGAAGCGCCCTCTCCATGTATGGAACATATGCCTACATTGACCCCCAAACCACCCCAATGTTGGCATATATGGCAGTGCCATGGAGCGTCTGCGGTGTAGTTTTGGGGTGCGTGTCCGTCGTGGCCAAAGGAACACGCGCTCGCAAGGTGTAAACCAATTGATCGTTGTCCGAGATTTCACCAACCTGAAATCTAGTATCAATCGAATGAGGCGATTGTTGGGGTCAAGTGGGGACTCCCTGTGTGGAGGCGATATGTTTACAGTTACCAGAATTGGATAATAATTCATTCAAAGACGATGACTGTATAGATGTCATGTTCGTTGAATCCTTGGTTCATTCTTCTTCCCCAGTCACCAACTCCCCGCTTACCAAGAGTGAACTGCTGCTATAGGTGCTACTCATGTGTTCATATAAGTAAGTTAATGAATTGATCAATTTGGACTCTCAAGTGCTTGCGTCCAGTGCGGGCGAGGGCTGCTTGGGCTGCTTGGGTTGCTTCTGGAAGGGGAGCAAGCACCACTGTCCATTCATCGCCCCCACTTTCCTTTCAAGGAGTAGTCACAAGCCGTGCTAGGCCAGTAGGACGAGAGATTGAGACGTCGTTTTCTCCATCCGCTCCAAAATGTGTTTTCTCTCTCCATCCGCTCCGAAATGGAAGGGTTTTGGCCGGTCCAATCTGGCCTGCGGTCGAATGGCCATTCGCAGTGAGGCATCCACGGCCAAATCTTCCTCGCCGAGCAGCAGGGTTCGCTGCTCGCAGGGCGCGCGTGGGAACACAAAGGTGGGCCCGGTTACTGACCATCATGCGAAGCCCCGCAACTTTGGTCAACTAGTTCACTTGCAATAAATTCTGGAATACTCACTGAACTACAATTGAGAGGTGAACTACAACGGGTGAGCAGTGCATGGATCGGCTGGGGTTTTCTGTGTTGCAAACAAGAAACAAACAAGTGGCCCGCACTAAGCCAGAAAAGAATCCCACAAAGAATAAGGGAACAACATGTAACATTAATATATCGTTAGTAAGAAAATGGACGAAACCGGAGCAAGAAAACTCAACCACAAAATGGATGTGTAAAAACACATGGTGTCTGTCAAATTTCACAAGTCAGGGATATAAGGGTCTGAAATCATTGCTAGAAGGAAGTAATCCTGGTGCTGGAGAAATAAGGGTTGGTGGGAGCCACACAGACGCCTCCCAAACTGTCCGTTTCTCAACACATGGAAAAGAAAGCCCAAGCGCTTATCTTCTTTTGTCGGGACTTTGCAGCGGTCACCTTCCTCGCTATACTCGCGAGCACTTCTCTGACCACCCCGAGGAGTGCTGGAACACATCACTACTACTTCAAGATCAAAATGGTTGCCATGACTAGCACTTCACCCAAGGCCTCTGCACCTTCATTTCGAGACCCTTTTCGGGGCACAGCTTCTTCTTTGTCCTCAAGTATCTGGGACTTTTTGGATGCCACACTGGGTGGGTGAGTGGATTGTTGGCTCTGCAGGTTCGTCTTATCTGTACACTGTCGTAGAAGGCACTGATCGCCTCACGGACAGCTTCCACGTAAGCGCCGGGACCCAATGCAAGACGCGCCGTCCGACAAATAGATAAGTGTCTGGACAATGGAGGCCCAACTTGACCCACTGTGTCTGCGGGTACGAATGGCGTGTCTTGGGGCTCCACAGATGGGTCCATGGATCCAGCCATCAGCAATAATAGTTCGCCCGACTCCGAGCATTGCTAGGGTTGCCTGGCTTTGTTGCCAGTTCTCAATATAATGGCTGACTTGGCCCCCCCGTGCTCTTTCCATGGCCATGTCTGAAAGTTTTGGGGCGAACTGGCCAACTATCGATGGATTCACCGTGGATCATGGACCAAGAAATTCATAGGGCCTAGGCCTAGGGGCCGCTCAGCACTAGTAACTCTGTTTGTAGTTCATCCGAGCACTGGTAGAGAGAGGCTGGCCCAGGCCTTTACATTGCCCTATCTCAAGTGGCCAATGAGACATTCTTACGCTGAAGGAGTTCCGCAAATAGGACATCTTGCACTTTCCACACCACCAGCTGCAGGGCTTGGAGCCGCCGACGCCTGAAATCAATGCATCTCAGAAGCTGGAAACTTTCCAGCCCGCCGGCTTGGTTCATCGTTGGACGAGGTTGAAGGTAGGGGCAGAAAGTCGAAGAAATTGTACATATAAATTAGTGGTTCCAAGTTCCATCTAAAGTAGTCATGGTCTCATGGTAAAGTAGTCATGGTTCCAAGGTCAAGTAATCAGGTACCATATCTTTTGAAAAGAGTTTATTCATTCACGATATGTAATGCACCCTAATATGCACATATGGAGTTCGGTCTCGAGCAACGAGGCTGCTTGTACGACGGGCGGGTGCATGGGCAGATATGAAAAACCGTGGTTTTGTCTAGTGACTGAGTGACTGACCTTGTCTTTTTATCATTCCTTATTTACCAAACAAAACTTGCTTCCATACCTTGTTTTTCACTTTCGTTATTTCCAGCATGTTTGAAAAAAAATAAAAACTGATTTGGGACCATGGTCATTTCTGTTTTCCAGCCATGTTTATTTCCCCACACAAATCCTTCAGTGCCAATGCGATTCTTTTCAACCTGAATGACGAAATTTAACACGCGGGTGTCTTGTAAGTTCTAATGAATTCTAATTATATTGTGTGTGTCTCTTTCTTTGGCAACTGCAACAAACACACACCACCGAGACAGACCCCCCCCGCAGTCCAAGACTTTGTCCACCTCGGCTTCCGCCTGTGTTCTTTCAGCCCGGTGGGCCAGCGCGGCCGCAATGCACGTGGCCAGTGACCGGTGATCGATGGGTTGACGTCTCAAGCTGGTCTCGGATGGCAGCTGGTGGAGGACAGAGAAACCAAATACACCCGCGGTGAAGAGACCGCTGAAAACCTCCCATGACCTCCGAGGCTCGGATTTGGGTCGGGTCTCAGGAGGCTCGAAAGGTCGTTTGCCGAGTCTTGAAGGGTGATTTTTGAATGGAACCACTACTAAGTAGATCCAATTGGTATTGCAAACGCAGTGGTAGCTGGAACCTGGGGTTTCTGCGGTCACTTTT